CCCTTATTCAGATAATTTTGTAAACAGCTATCTTACATAACTTCTCAATGCCATTTTATTACTGTTTAATCTGGGTAGATTCCAACAGTATATTGTCAGGACTGCTTATATAGTAAAGTCATATATAGCAGGGCCCCCAACCCCCGGTCCATCGACCAGTACCGGGCCGCGGCATGTCAGCAACTGGTCTGCACAAACAAGGAAAGCCCCATCCACAGGATGCAGGCAGCACACAAAACCACGTCTCCTCTGGTCTATAGAAACCTCTCTCCACGTAACCAGTCCCTGGTGCCCAAAAGGTTGGAGACCTCTGATATATAGTAAAGTCATATATTTATAATAAAGTCAGAGTTGCTCATATAGTAAAAAAAACTTTTAGAATTCTTGGTATTCCTGGTCAGATTCAAATATATTGTATATTCCATGTATAAAAATAATCTTTTCTGGGATCCTACCTACTACAAATCTCCCTCAACATTTGAAACCTGCTCTGAAGTTTTGGAATCCCCAGCCAAACAGGATTCAAGGTGACATGAAAGGATCTATAGGAAATTAAATATTGAATGGAATGGTATTAACTTTAATATAGGAGGTACTTGGGATCTTTATCCCTACATTTTGGCTGCCATTATTTTGCCTCTCAGGAATATTATAGTATCCAAGTAATACTGATACATTTTTTATTATTTTCTGACTTTTAGTAGAAAATAGATTTTTTCCAACAATTAATTACAATTCTTAGAAAAGTTGGAATGGTCTTTTATCATATTACTTGCCAAGAATTATTAATCTGTTTTGTGCACTGAAAATAACATTTATAGAATTCAGTTGTTACTTTCCCTCTTATGCAGATAATCACTATGTATATTATTTCTCATTCATAAAAAACATTTCAATAAATATAGTTATCTGAACCAGTGGTGGGATTCAAATATGTGAACAACCGGTTTTCTATGTGGATGCCACTTCTGGAAGTCCATTTTGGGCCTGGGCAACAAAAAATTAGCTAGCGGTTCTGCCAAGTGGTGCAAACTGGTTGAATCCCACCACTGATCTAAATTCTTTTGTAACATACCATAACTTGTTATTTACTACTATATGGCTTATACTGGCTGTAGCCTGGCTTGTATATTATGTAGAAAATCAGCAAGTAAATTCTAGGAAAAAATATGTTGGCCTAAGTGCTCTGGATATTTAGATATGTTTCAAGCCAAGTCATATTAATATTTAGAATTTATAATAACATTTACATTTATAGAATTTATAGAATATATTGAAGAGAAAACAATGGGAAAAAATTGGTAAACATTTAGGAAATTTTTCAGGGAATAATAAAGGCAGGATATAAGTATCTGTATATGACCATCACAGTAATATCAGTGTTAACTGAAATCATGTGATCAAGCAAACTATCAAACAAACAAAGTTCTCTATTGTATAAGTGCTACTATTATAAGCTGGATCCCTATCCCTTCTGGATACTTTAGATTGGTGAAGGGGTGTGAACTGGATCCAAGAGACGACAGATATTTCTTTAAGAGAGGATGAGATGAAGAAATCATCTCTTGATCCAGCTACACTGGATAACTATTGCCCTGTCTCCAACTTTTCTTTCTGGGAAAAGGTTGAGGGGAAAATAGGGTGGCTTATCTTTAGAAGAAACAGCATTAATCACTTTGGTATGGCACTGTACCCTTCTTAATCCTTTAGAATTCTTAGCAGTTTTTGACACCATCAGTTAGAGCAACTTGCAAAAACCTGGGGCTGCAAATGGGGCTGAAAATTATAAGTACTGTTTTGGAATGGTTCTAAGTTCCACTCCTACCTTAGAAGTAGTTTCTAGTCAGAATTAGAAAAAAAAACTTGGACAGGTGAGTACTCTAGTGTGTGATGCTTCAAACTACCTACTTAACATCTTTATGAGGCTTCTGAGAGAGAGATACCATCAGTTTGGGATGAAAATATCATCAATTTGCTGAATATTCTTCTATACAAGCGGTTCTCAACCTGTGGGTCGGGATCCCATTTGGGGTCGAATGACCATTTCACAGGGGTCGCCAAACAACGCAGTCCGCCATTTTTTCCCCTTTTCCTTAGCTGTGTTACTCCCTTTTATTCTATTGGCTTTTGAAAGCCAATAGAATAGACTCTCTTGAATAGAGTCTAATTCTATTGGCTTTCAAAAGCCAATAGGAATTGTCCAGGCTGTCTCTGCCCTGCTGAGCCCGCCAAAAGTCCCATTCTGCAAACGGTGCTGCAAGTTGTCTGCAGCGAAGGCGAGCTGTCTGGAAATTTCCACCCCTCCCTGCTGAGCAACTACTAAAAATGTAAGTAAAAGAGGGCCAGGGGTGGGAGGTGGGAGGCCGGCGGGCGCAGGGAGGGTTGCTGGCGTGCGTGGGGCCTGGCAGGTGCCTTACCTCCCTTGGGCTGGGCCAGCTGGTGGCTCAGCTGGTGGTCGGCCTGCGTCATCTCTCCTGCTTTCCAGCTACGCCTCGGCCAGCGCAGGGGGCAGCACCACGCATGCGCGGGACTCCCGGGCAGGGAAAGTCCTCGACTTACGACCGGTTGGGTAGTCCTCGATTTACTACCAGTTGGGTAGTCCTCGACTTACGACCAATTGGGGGTCGCAGCATTAAAAAGGTTGAGAACCACCGCTCTATACATTGTTAACCAGGGCTGAGTTGTACATGTTGTGGAAGTCCTAAGTCCTGAAGACCACGATGACTGTATGGGTAGAAACAAACCCAGATCAAATGCCAAGAAAAACACAGTTGCTTACTCTTATCACTACTTGCTTATATTACTGTAATGCACTCTACACTGGACTGCCTCTAAAAATGATCCAGAAGCCACAACTGATATAATATAGAATGTCCAGGGCTTGCTGATCACAGCTGTTATGTATCTTTTAATGCTGTATATTTACAATAGGCTATCAAGTCAAATTCAAAAACTCCATACGGTAAATATAAATATATGTCATATGATTCTTTAGACTGTCTCCTGCCCCACTGGATCCCTCATTTTGTCCTCCCACCCCCAAATATGAAGACCTGGCTGTTCCCAGGCCTAGGGGCCAGGATGTTAATTCACTGGACCTCTGATGTGGGTATATAATCAATATGAGGACAGTAATATTTTCATAAGGGCCTTGATTTGGGTTTTATTGGGGTTTTTAATGGTTTGTCATTTATATTCTTTGCATGGTTTCCCTTGATTTATTTTATTTCTGAGATACTTATCAAGCATTTTCCTTGTGCTATCTGATGAAAAGAATTCAATTATTAGAAGATTTTAATATCTGAGTTCCAGTCTGATGTAATGAATAAGGCACAGGGCCAGAATCCAGGAGTTTGTTCCCTTGTTAGGTACCAAGTGAGCTGGGTGACCTTGGGCCAATTATTCTTTCTTAGCCCTAAGAGAAGGCAATAGAAACCATTTTTGAAATCCTTGCCAAGAAACTTCAGGGGTAAGACCAAACACTCATCAGGAGTGAAAAACTGAGTCAAAGGCACATTAAAAACTGAGTCAAAGGCATATTAAAAAAAAGAGGGACAAAGGCACATTAAAAAAAAGAGATACAAAGGTTGTCATAGGCTTTTAGAGCAGATGCATCAAGCTTAATAAACATTTAAATCTGCTTCTGAAACAAAAGAGAATGGGCAGCTTCTGCCTTAATTTGCTGTAACTAAATCTAGTGCCAGTCAATAGACTATATAGTAGCCCTATGTACACAAGAACTCTTTTTAACCCAGCTATTTAGTTTTACACACTTAGAAATTATTTTCTGCAATATCATACATTTCACTCTAGAGATTGAAGATGTGGGATTTGATTTAGGTGACAACACATTAATCTAATATCTTCCCCAATTTTAAATGTGTACCTTAAAATTATTTAAATGGATTGCTATCTATATTTGATCTATTGAAGAAATGGAAACATGGGTCAGATGGTTGGTAGGCAGAATGTTTTTTGTTAAAAATTTTCACCACTTGTGTCTTTAGTTGGATATAAACTGTAGTGAAGTGTACCAAATAATGCTATTTTCAGAGATGGCAATATAAAAATATACAATCTTTAACTTTTTGTATTAGTTTGGATGCTAGATATTATTATTGTTGTTTAAACTAAATATTTCAAATTATTTTACATTTAATGGATATATGTTTCTATCACTGCTGTCAATGCTGCTAATATTGAATATTCTTGCTTTGACAAAATATGCAGAACTGTCTGGTACTTCTAGAGTTAATTCAGATGAGAATAAGAGAGGAGAAAAAAGCCCGGGGAAGAGAATGGAAGTAAATCTTTGCCCTCCAGGTTAATTGGAAGATGTGAATCATGACCCCAAAATAGGGGAGGGGAAATGCCTGGAATGTTATGTGCAAAGGAAGGGAAATTCAGATCTTGGCATTCTCCATGCCGTGCTGACTCTAAACTAATAAAGACTTTTTAGGTTAAACCATGCCTGAAAGTTCTTTGAAGTGTTTCATTAGTCAGACACATGACATCTGCATTTTCAATATTACACTTGTTTAAAAAATTTCCTTTTACCCTTATTATGAAGTTGGGTTGCTAAGATATTTTATAATATGAAACTATCTATTATAGATAACACACCAAATGTTGATATTTAGCAAATGGAAGTATTTAAAAGTTTTAATTTCGTTAAATTTGTTTGCTTGGAAAAGCAAATTCCAGGGCTTTTCACAGAACCAACCACTCATTCATCTACTCAAATAAAGGAACAAAATAATTACCTCCGAAATATTATATAATGGAAGGGAATAGGAAGTAGACAAAAGAGTGGGAATTTAAAAAATGGAGGAGCACCCTTGCCTAACCTATCTTTCTGTTTAGTGTGCATAAATGTGGCACAGAAACTAGATTAAAGAAATTCGGGACATACTTATTTAATAAATTTTACTTGGCCACCTATCCTATATACATGACTTTGTGTGACTAACATTTCAAAGCAAAATAAAAATGGGATATAATAACCCGGAAGTCCTTTTTTATTCAGAATAGGTATTCACTCACTTCAAATTTTAAACAACTGTTTCAACCCCATGGGGTATTACGAATTCAAAATGTTCTGAATTTAAAACTTTTCGCATCCTTTTAATGAAGAGATTCCAGTCCTCAGAAATTCAACTGAAATAAAGCATTCTAAAGAACAAGCAAGCACTGGTAAAAATAATGTGAATTAAAAAAAATAGACAAATGATTTACATATATACATATATTTGGTAGGTAGGTAAATGGAGGCGGGAGCATGTATTTACATATACAGATTATAAGCTTAAATATTAGCAAAACACAATGATGCATTAGTTCCACCAAAACCAAAGGAATTACTGAGAGCAATAAGCCGCTGTTTACTTTTCCATTCTTGTGGTACTAGTGGAACATAATTGAGATCAAATGGTAGCTCTGTCCGATCCAGATTTAAAGTAGGTGGCAAAATTCCATGATAACAAGCTAAAGCAGTAAAAGCTGCCTCAATAGCACCTGCAGCACCCAAGAGATGACCTGTTGCTCCTTTAGTTGAGGAGACTGCAAGGGCATAGGCATGACCTTTAAAAAGGTCTTTGATAGCTTGATTCTCTGCAGCGTCTCCTAGTGGAGTCGAGGTAGCATGAGCATTGATATATGTTATATCTTCAGGAGAAATTCCAGAATCTTTGATTGCTGCAGACATGCACCTTTGGAACAAAAAGGAAGAAATTAGCTTTATCAAATATCCATTTATGTGCCTGAAAATAAGAAAACATGCAACACTGGAAGGATATAAAATGTCATGTATATAAATGAGCTTTTCTGGAATCTCATCTATTGCAATCCTGCACTGAGGAGATGCTCACCTAAACCAAGAAGTATGAAGAACTTCACAATTAAATGTTGAATTCTTTAAGACATGAATATACATTCTTTTTCTTCTATACTATAATTTTAGTATGTATTGCCAGGTTGATTAAACTAGAAAATTAAGTTCTAGTGAGCTGATAAATTTAATTATTTTGAACCTTCAGTTGTGCTAGTTGGCAAAATATTTCATCAAATGCTATGTCACTTCTTAACTGTTATGTATCATGGAGCTGAACAAGCAGAATCAATTAATAGCTGTAAATGTAGTCTTTTTTACATAATGGGGAAACATCATTATTTTAAGAATGGGTAAGGCAAATTAGTTTAACATTTTATGGAACAGAATTCATCAGATCTAACCCCTATGTAGGTACCACATAATTCATCATTATTTCCTTATTTACAACGAGATAGCATGATTGTCCCATGATTATCTCCAATAATCACAATACTATTTCAAATGGCATTATCCAAAACTATATCAGTTTCACATCCTTTCTAAATAAAAGCTCTATTTCACACTTTCTTTCACCAAATTATGAAAAACAGGTATTAAGCTAACAACTAGTACACTGGATCAGCTGTTTCTCAATTCCTTTTTAAAAATGAAACTATTATTTTGAATAATAATATATTTGAAAATGTAACTAAAAACTTAGACAGTGTAAATGAGGCAGTAATATAAAGCCCAAGAAGCAGGCAAATAAAGGAATAAAAATATTCCATTCATCAACCATAAAAAACAAATGAAAATGAAAAGACATCTTTGTAATAAACGTACTAATGCCAACCTAACTTTTATATGGAGAAACATTTTTTTCAATCAGAGTGTGACCACAAAAAAGGCTTCTCTACTAGTGTACTACTTACATAATTTTAAAGGAAGTCACTTTAAAAGAAGATATCCCTGTCATATCTGGCTTTATCTTGGGAATATGGGTGGTCACCAGAATTTGTCATTGAGCAAATAAAATGAATGCATTGGTGATTAGTTCAAATGACTGTTAAATGGCAGCCAAGGCTAACCCAACAATGTAACTTTGTTTATAGAGTAAATAGCAAGTCACAGTATCTGCTCACTGACCATGGCAGTGCACCATTCTCTTTGCCAGCAGGTTCTTCACACATGGAGACACATATATATGCACACACACACACACATACACATATCTGGTATCACTTTGTTAGCAAACAGATTTCTCAATTAGCTAGTTAATGCTCCCATATAAAAGACCTCTGATCAGCCAAAAGAAAGCCATTCCTATATTAGGAAATTATATCAATGATTTATGATAATAGTTGTTACCTTAAAGCTCCATCTCCATTTGGATCAGGTGCTGTAATGTGGCAGGCATCAGCTGACAATCCATAGCCTAAAATTTCTGCATATGGTTTGACTCCTCTCTGAATAGCATGCACGTATTCTTCCAAAACCAAAACTGCGGCACCTTCTCCCATGACAAATCCTTCTCTTAGTGGATGGAATGGACAACAAGCTTTTTGAGGGTTTGAGTTAAAGCTAGTGCTCAGAGCCCGAGCTCTGGCAAATCCGGCCAGAGCCAATGGGCTAATACAAGCTTCTGTTCCTCCCGCCAACATCATATCAGCATCACCATGAGCTATAAATCGAAAAGAGTCTCCGATGGCATGTGCTCCAGTGGTACAAGCAGTGGACACAGCATGATTTGGTCCTTTCAATTGATGTTTGATACTAATATGACCTGCTGCCATATTGATCAAAATCTTTGGAACAAAAAAAGGGCTGACTTTGTTGTAGCCTTTTGTTTTGAATGTCAAAGCTGTATCATAGATATCTTCCAGTGGAACCATTCCCATTCCTATAGCCACACCAGCTTTCAAACTATCCTGGTCAGATTGCGGAGACCAACCAGAATCTTTTAATGCTAGATCAGCAGCACCTATGGCCATGATGGTGGCAGAAGACACAGCTTTGCTGTCTGATTTTGTTATAAAATTTTCTCCATGGAACTGACCTTCATCAACCCCTTTTGGCACGCAAGCAGCAACTTTACAAGGAACAGAAGCATATTCTTCCCCTTTAAGGGCAACAATCCCACAATTTCCTTGGAGAAGATTATTCCAAACCAACTGGGTTCCAACACCAAGAGGACATACTAATCCTATACCTGTGACAACAACCCTTCTTTGACTGTGAACTAACCTAGTATTCAGACATTTTTTATTGATATCTAGATACTGCTGTACTTGTGAACTTGGAAGGCAGAGGCTTATAGCTCTGAATACAGTTCTCAAGTGCTGGAGAATCATCACTGTATTACCTCAAAGTTTATTCCTATGGAGAAGAGGAAAATAAAATTATTATTTACAAGCTTTCACTAGGGGTAAAGTTTACATTTCTTATAACAGTAAAAAAAGTATTAATCTATCAAACATGCAACATATGATAGTGTACATTTAAGTAAAATGAAATAAATGGTTTCTACATTCTAATTTTCAAGCCTAATTGAAAAATTTATGATTGCAATTTGACAACAGAGGTAAAGATTTTCTCATAAAAAGTTTTGTATATTTCAGAGTCAAATTATTCATAAATTTTCAAGAAATGGCTCTTTGATCATACTAAATTCAATGCATCCAATCAATGTATTAAACTCAAAAATATATGCATGGAAATTTTCAGCTCAAACTTTAAAAGTTTAATTATTATTTTATCTTTCTTGTAAAATTTTAGAAGTAGAACAAAACTTTGGGATTTTATTCTTTTCACAAAAATAAATAAAATAATCTGAAAAATAACTACGCCATAGTTTTGTTATATATACTGTAATACATTTTAGCTTGGAAGCAAACAGTGTCAGGCTTGATTAGTGATTCTATGGGACATCATCAAAGATTATCAAGACTGGAAAACAGACTCAGAAATTTTTTTAAAAGTCCCAGAAAAAGGAAGGATATTGGTGCAATGAAAACGGTATGGATGGTCAGCAACAATCTCAAAAACATGTTGCAGTTGTCAACTTCATAATAAGTAATTCTGTTCATATCCCTGATTTGCACTATATAATTCTCTGAAGTTTAGCCCAATTGGCTCTTAAGCTTTCTGTTTCCTCTCTTTGAGGGAACAATAGCCATGAATTGATTCAGGAGTAAAGGGCTGAAATATGTCCATAAAGACTTTTTATTGTCCGAAATGGTTTAGGTCTCCAGCTTGAGAACGGGTTTGGACTAAGAAACCCAAGATCCCTTCCAACCTTATTATTCTATGTTATTTGTGTTTAACGTGCTCATATAACACATAACCTGTTTTCAGAGGTCTTCTCACTGACTACAGCATATCTGTAATATGATGCTACTCTTTAAGAAACAGAAGTCTCCTCTTCAGCATATAACACTTATTACTGCAAGAGGCTATTTGGATCTCAGCGTAATTGGTAATAAAATGTAGACAGATTTTAATTCCAGATCACCAAAATTCAACTGCATGAGCAACAGATTTACTGTATTAATGAGCTAAGCCATAATAAATTTGACAGACCTTTCAAGTTTCACTTTCAACTGATATACAATGTTTCAGATTTAGGAAATAACTCCCATAAAGGTAAATAGGATTTAACTTTACAGAAAAATAAAAATACAAATCATTTATCATTTTATATTAATATTAATATTCATGCTTAGAATTACAGTGCAGATGCATCCAGTTGAGACTTGTTATGGTGCAATTCATAACTGCCTTGTCTTCATTCATCAAAGGGATGCAGGTGATAGTGTTTTCTATTTATAAAACATCTTGATTTCCCTTACCATTTTTCTTATTTTCTTAAAAGAAAAATGAGAACAAGGAGGATAAGATCCATGTTGCTTTTTTGATTAAAACTGCCAAATCGGAATTGCAAAAACTGGATGAGCACTAGATTACAGGAGAGTTTTCTTATCTTCTAATTATTGCCTGGATTCTGCAACACATATCAGGCAGACATAAAACACTAGCATTACCAAAAATAATTTGCTTGAAAGCGCTAGAGGGTTACCATATCTATTACAGTAATTGACAACAAAGAAGGGTTATTTTGCTGTCAATGCCATTTGGTAGCTCGGATTTCTGTAGCGCAGCGACTGCAAATCTTCAAGAAACCACTTCCGACGCGTAAGGTTCGATAAGTCCAGCAGGCTGGGTGGGGGTGATGGGGGGGGTGACAATGTAGCTTCTGCGCATGCTCACCACTGGGACGGGGAAGCAGTCCTGTCTCACGAATGAAGGCGTCATTGCCATCCCTTTCTGATTCACCATAGTCGGCGCCCCATTTAGACGCATGGTAATCTCAGGCAGCAAGATTTAGAATTGAGTGCGGGCGGGCGCGCCTCAAAAAGGAAGTTTCTTTTCTCCCTCTGGTGACGACTAATAGTAGGCAAATGCCATTGCAATGGGATGGTGGCAGTAGTGGAATCTACCACGTCAGTGCTCTCGCGAGCACTAAGCGGCCTCTCCTAGAATTCTAGAGAAACGTTTTTGGAGGCCTCGGGGTTGCTACTTACCTACGCGGGTAATATCTTCAGGTGAGAAGGAGTGACGGGTCCGCCAAACAGGAGGTGACGACGTTTTTTCCGCGAAGGCCGTCGGGTTGGGACTTCCTTGGGTATATATTAAAACAAAACAACAACAAAAATCTTATGGATCGTGGGCATAACAATTGTTTTCAGTTTCGCGGGCGGGTTACTAGTTGAGAAAGGAATTGTTCAGTTGCGCAATTTCCTGTTTTGTGGTTGATCAATTGCAAATTGAACTGTTTCTCCTGCACCTGTTTAAGGAGAAATAAGTCACCATTAAGATTTGCATTGTATACGGTACAGCACTGCTGGATCATTAGTAGTTTGTCTGTATATGCAGAGTGCATATTCCCTCCACAAAATAATGTTTGTGTTTCAGATTAAAAAGCAAAGTGATTTAATATAATTGGAGTTGCAATAGAATTCATTTTAAAAATTAAGCATATAAAGCTGACTTGGGAGCTGTAATATCATAATGGAAAAGCAGGCAAGAAATGCAGCTATCTGAAACACTTATTACCAGCATATTCAAAGATCAGCACAAAATTATAGGATAAGATTGGAATAATATACCTCTGGGTGTTTGGGGCAGCTCCCTTGTTGTTTAGAAATTAAATTGATCGCCAATGCAGCAGGGGTATTAGATTTGGAAAGGGTATTAATTGTTAAACCATATGTGTGACCTAAAATATATTAAAAATAAAATTATCAAGGTCCAAAGAACCAAATGAGATTAGTTCGATAGCCATTCTCATCCAAATTTTTGAGCTGTTTGATTGCAGAAGGGATGGTTTTTGAAAAATAACACTATATTGCTCCCTTCTAGTTTTGTATAGTACAAAACACATTTGAATGTGTTAACATTGGGAATTCCAGTTTATTCTTAGGGTTGAAATAAGTTCTGATTAAGAAGCACTAGAAGAAATTTAATTAGGGGCAAAATAGTCTCACTAAAATTCAAAGCTGTGATGACTGCCTTATTTATACCTGTCATAGGCAGAAATGGAAGAGACGGAGGAGGAGTTCCTTAGAGCAGACATGTCAAACTTATGATGTCACGTGACATCGTGCAACATATCGGAACTTTTTCCCCATTGCCGGCAATGGGATGCCTTAGAGGGAGTATCTGATACTTCAGGAAAAGCAGAAAGAATAAATGTGTTATATAAACAGTACAGGAATCTAGTGCCTACATTGAAAAGCCAGGGAATTCTGAGGAAGTCTTCTAAAAACAAATGCATTTTTGGAGAAGGTATTTCAGTATTAAACTATTAAATTACAACTCGCTCCTAAGCACACATTCCGATTCCATAAATAGATTAAAATAACTGTAATAGTAACACTTATTATAAAATACAAATCATACTTTAAGAATTACATCCCAAAATTATCTAATTATCTCTTATATAGGGATATCTCACAACTCATATCATTTTCCAAAGGCTTTCTGGAATAATGTGGGTTTTTTTTTAATTTTCCCTTGGTTGAAAAGTGACAGATGTATTGCAACAACAATAGTTTCCTCCAACAGATCCAAAACTTATAAACTTCTACATCTATTTGCAACCCAATTTGACCTTATACATTGCATATATGAAGAAAAAAATAGTTAATAGGGTAAATCAATGGCCTCAACCTTTCTGGCTTCACAGATTGGCAATGGCAGCACATGCATCTGCCATTTGCTCGGTCTGATTCACAATGGGCTGTTGACTGGGGGTTTGAGACTCCTGAGTTAAACAATGCCCTCTGTTAACAATCTATTATTATAATTTACTCGTAGAGAGTCTATAGCAGTTTCTTATCTATCTTAAATAAATTATCTCTGATCTGTCCAGAATCAAATACCCTCATTTGAGTCTTAATAATAAAACCTTTCCTTGGATTTTAATTGGGAACTTTCCCCAAAATTGCATCTCTTTTCCAAAGTTCATAAATCTCTGTTGTGAATATCTCTGCAGCATCCATTGTTGAAAAAGTCTTCTTAAAACACAACATTCATCTTGCCAAGAAAATCCAATTCATCCTTCATCAATTCCTTTATCTCAGAATTTCTTGTATTCATATTCCTTTCAATTTTTTCTGGAAGATCTATAATTTTCAAACCAAATACTTTTTTTCCTCACATTTGGCAGCAACAGATTGTATTCAAATTCATCAAGTTACAAATCAAATCCAACTGTTATTTCCTGCTTTTGGATATCATGCTGGTTTTGGGCCGCTATTGACCCATCAAATTTTTTATTTATATTTTCAAATAAAACCTATAGGTTGGAGAGCATTCTTTTTTCAAATGCTTCCCAGAAAGTTTTATCTCCTTTTAGAGACATTTTGAAAAACACACTGTTCTTTTCAGGGACAAGAGATGCAGATAAATCATAACCATAGAGAAAAGTTGAGATAAAGTTTTTCCCCAAAAAATAAATGATTTAAAAAGGGAAATTTTCCCATCAAAGTTAAAAAATAAAAATCAAAGTTCTTTTTGTTGGTGCTGATCTTATCCTGGTGCTGTTCAAAAGGAGTGGGATAACAGTGGGAATATCCCAGTTTATGACTTCTGATGGTAATATTTTTTCAGATATAGGTACTTGATGGGAATCCTCCTTCAGATCTAACTGAACAGATAGCTACTGCTGGGAGTAGGCAGTCTCAAAGTTATTCAGATCCCTGACCATGTAGAATTTTAAAATGACAACAGCATTTTAAGGTTACAGTAGAATTTGCTAGAAACCAATTGGTAATGAATTCAACCCCTGAAATAGTGATGTTAGGGAGAACATGAAATGTGTCTGCATTTAATCATGTGGTGTGGAGAATAGAGGAAATAGCCAAGAAGGAAAAGAGAAAGCTGCTATCATGGCAACAGTCAGGTATAAAAATGGCCTGGGCACTAAGTAAATGTCTCAGACAAACCTTTCCTAATTCACATTGATTTCTTAGCATGGTCTGTCTTAAATATTTGACACACTGTTGCTTTCTATATCAAGTGTGTCCAAGCTGCATCCTTCAGCTGCAGGCAGACCTGGACAGCTAGTAATGCAAGCCCACAGATCCTAAATTTTTAGTATTATGTGATTTTATATACATTAACCATATTATATTTTTTATATATGGCCCAACAGAATTCCCCTTCCTTCACTCATTACATCCCAGGCAAGCGAAAAGATTGGCAACCATGTTCAACTCCTCTAGGTCAGAGGTTCCCAAACTTTCAGTTCACTACATCCTGTCTCAGTATTTTTTTCACAGACCCCATAGATCATAACTACGCACTTCTCCAGATAACAGCTTGTGTAGTATCCAACTTAGTAATAGTAGTAAAGTTGGAAGGGGCCTTGGAGGTCATCTAGTTCAACCCCCTGCTCAGGCAGGAAACCCTACATCATTTCGGACAAATGGCTGTCCAGTCTCTTCTTAAAAACTTCCAGTGTTGGAGCATTTACTGCTTCTGGAGGCAGGCTGTTCCACTGATTAATTGTTCTCACTGTCAGGAAGTTTCTCCTTAGTTCTAGGTTGCTTCTCTCCTTGATTAGTTTCCATTCGTTGCTTCTTGTCCTGCCTTCAGGTGCTTTGGAGAATAGCTTGATTCCCTCTTCTTTATGGCAGCCCCTGAGATATTGGAATACTGCTATCATGTCCCCCCTTGTCCTTCTCTTCGTTAAACTAGACATACCCAATTCTAGCAACCGTTCCTTATATGTTTTAGCCTCCAGTCCCCTAATCATCTTTGTTGCTCTTCTCTGTACTCTTTCTAGAGTCTCAACATCTTTTTTACATCGTGGTGACCAAAACTGGATGCAGTATTCCAAGTGTGGCCTTACCAAGGCATTGTAGAGTGGTATTAATACTTCACGTGATCTTATTTTGAATATTGTTGTGTTTCCCTCAAAAATTTAAAATATCTTGTAATACTCCTGTGAGTTTGCTGTACATCCTGTTTAGGAACCTTAGTGCAAAAGATTTTCTTTTTAAAATGATAATTATATTAAGGCTTGTTATAGCATATAATACAATGAAAATAAAGTTTAAATAAAAGGGAAGGGAAAATGCAAGATGAGGGAAAAAAGGAGAGAAACAAAGTGTTGACTTCTGACTCATTCCAACACAACAAAATATTAATACATTTGCAACCTCAACTTTTTACATTACCTATAATTATTGAAAGCCAGTAGTATACCTACAAAATTACTAAATCTTCAAACTAAATTTAAATTTATTTATTTATTTTGTATTTCAGGCATTAAAAACCAGAAGTAATAATCCTAATAGAAACAAATCCAGACAAAATCTTTGTTTAAAACAGTTACATCAACAGTTTACAAAAACATTTTTTCCTCTGTTGTGGAAAATGATCTATAGTTCTATTTACACTTACTAATCTTTGTAAGCTATCATAATTTATATTAACAAAATTCATGGTTTTGTTAATATTCTTTCAAATTCTTTAACATTAAAGGAGAAACTATTTTATGTTCATTTTAAGATCCTAGTCCTGGATCGGCAACCTGCGGCTCCGGAGCCACATGCGGCTCTTTGAGACTTCTCTTGCGGCTCCCAGCGTCCTCTGCCATTTGCAGAGAGAGAAAAAGAGACAGAGAGAGGCACTTGCGCTTCCCTTCTCTCTTTCTCTCTC